TTCAGATCGCACAGGACCGGAACACAGGCACTGATGTGCCACGCATTCAGGTGCAGGCGATCACATTGCAGGCGGGGGGAAGAGAGGCATGGCTGTGGTGCCATTGACTACATCGCACTGCCATGCCCCCTCCCACCCCGAAACGCAGGACGCTGGCCGGGATTTGCTCCAGTGCGTTCCAGCGGCGAATTGTGCTAAAACGCACTGGAACTGGTATAAACCAGCCCTTAAAATGGACCCTCTCCCTGTGCTGGTGCATTAGGTTACCATGGCTAAAGCAGGCTCACCTTTCCACAGGCTCCAGGGAAGAGAATCGGGACCTCTCTGCTCATCCCACCATAGGCAGTGACAGAGGCTTGGCTGCAGGCTGGAGAAGGCTGGACACAGAACTTCTAAAACTTCAGCAACATCCAGACCATAGGGACGACCAGCCTGTCACTGCAGATATAGATCTGCACCTGCACACTGCCTGCCACTCTCTCCCCTCTCGTATCACGCTGCCTGTTACCAGGGACGCGGCCAGGAGACGGAGCGGGAACTCACCTGACCCCGCCCCCCATGCTAAGAAGCCTGTCTGTCAATGCAGATAAACATCTGCGCACAGCCAGCCCCTCTCTTCCGCCTCCTGCTACTGGGGACGCGACCGGGAGTAAGAGCGGGACCTACCTGATCCCACCGCTCTGGTTAGAAGCTCATCGGCACTGCCCCGTATTCAACCTAGGGTGGGGGGCCCAGGATGAGACCTCACTGGTCCCCCCACAGCTTCAGGCCCCGGTGCAGCAGAGGAAGTAGTTCCACCCCTGCGTAGGGGATATTTTACTGTGGGAGTAGTGAAGTTCTGGAATTCCCTTCCACAGGCGGTGGTATCTGCTAATAGCGTTCATAAATTCAAGAAACTTCTTGATGAGTTTCTTATTTCACTTAATTTACAGGGATATGGGAAGTGTTAGAGCAAGATAAATACAGACGCACAATTACATACACACATTGATTGAACAGGATGGAACCTTGTCTTTATTCAACCTCAACTACTGTTACTATGTTACTATGTTATCTGATCGTTTTAACCTAGGGTAAAAAAAAGGTATACTCACCTGAGTTTCCGAGCCAGCCGGTTCTTAGGCCAGTGCCTTGAGCATCTCTTCCCATCCGCTGCAGCAGTCTAGGAATCCTTGCCTGCTGCAGCGAATAGGAAGAGTGCAAGGGATAATACAATATTATATAATAAAATAGTATAATATAATAAAAGATCAACATATAAAAAAGGTAAAATAAATGTTACATTCTTTGACTATTATGTGACCATATCAGTGGTATCAAGACCTAGACTAGTTTCCTGTCCAGCTACAAATGTAGGGTTTAGTGCTTTGTCATCATTGAATTTCAACCCATTTCAAATGTCTTAACATTTTTAAAGTAGAAATTAATCCCAAGAGGATGACATTTAGATGACTAAAGTCTGTAAATCATAAACATTTGCCATTTTTTTCTTTTGAAAAATATTATTTTCATCATTCTTTTGTATCTCAATGCTGATGAAGAACACTCAGATCGCTGTGTTTTTTAAAATTGATTCTCCTTATAAATTAAAATAAGAATCAATATATGGTGTTGTCCATGATTATTGCATTATTTTACAGAACCATGTGTAGGGTATTTTGTAGGATTTTAGATGTTTGTCCGATGTGTATTTATGGTGTTTGCAATTTTCGTAATAAAACCATTTTCATTGAACATAAATTTATATTCACTATCATTCTATGTTGGGATCTCTGTTAAAGGGAAAATAGACTTTTAATATAAGAATCCACAGGTGCTGACTGTCGTTACTGTTTAGTACAAAGATGATGAAGTCATATAAGTAGCAGGCTGCTAAAACTGAGGACTGAGGGAGGTGTGCTATTAACTAAAATTAGCAACTTGACAAATGCAGTAACACCTCCAGCAATTTAATTTTCTATTTTATTTAGTACATGTTGTCACCATGAAAATACCATTGGTGTTATTACTGGCTTTTGAGCAGCTTCTAAAACAAGACTGGGGAACCTTGAACAAAGGCTGGCTCTGGTAGTACTGAAACTTCCTAGAAGAGTCAGTTTCTGAGAATGTGTCTGTACACTAGTGTAAACTTCTGCAGGCTAATAGGTCTTAACAGCATTTATTTGTTAGGACGTAACATTCTTGCTCAACCAGGCTTGGCAAGCTGTGTCCCATAAACAAACATGTGCCTTAGTGTTAGTGTACACAGGCTTCAGACTTAGAAGTCAATTGCATTATGCTTTCAGGAAAAACATGGGTTTTATTTGAGATCAGGCTGAGATTTGCTTGGGATGCATTGACAATTACTTGTACAGTGGAGTACAGGTAAAGCCATACAATGCATGGCAAAAGCAGTGATGAGATTCAACTTAATATTCCAGATCCTACAGTGCTTAACAAATGTATGTCAGAAGCAGTCCACACATGCCTGTGTGCACTAACCCTAGTATGCCACTTTTGCTTGTGTTGTAGGCAGACCCTGAATCACCATAAAGGAGTAGTAAGGCACAGAGGGGAACCATTTCCCAGTCTTGAAAGACAAGATATGTTCTTCACTTGGACAAGAAAAATATTTTAGCCACCTTTTTTTTTTACGGTTGCCAATTTGTATTTATTTTCTAAGATAATTTTTATTTAGCAAAGCATATTTAGCTTGTGGAATCTACTTTTATTTTAATTATGTTATTATCCATTTTATTAAGTGCATTTTAATTTCCATGTAGCTGATTTGAGATTATTACATTGCAGTTCAGTGTAACTAACTTTAGAGAGTTAAGGTAAAGTGTAATATCATAGAAGCAATTATTTATAGTCATCATATTCACTATTTACATAAAATATCTTGAACTGATTATCTTGAAATTGGTGAACGCAGTTAATCCGATTCTGAGGTACACATACATGTGTCAGTTAGGGCATTGAAACATATTTTGATGATATATCATTTATGGTTTGTATGCTAGAGAACTCCCTTCCCAGTTCCCTGCTGTCAGCTTGAATATCAGAATAATGATTTGTAAAGTACTGGATACAGAGGCTACATCTGCTTGTTATCAAACCACCATACCTGTGGTTTTCCACATAATCTGTATAAGGCAGAGAAGTGAACAATGTAGACCAAAATAGCTGATATGGAAAAATTCTCCAATTCAGCTCACTTTGCAATTCAGCTATGTTGTCCTAGATTGTTCACTTCTCCTGCCTTCTCCAAACTCTTCACCCTGTTGTGAATAGCCCTGATCATGTTAATTGCAATTGGGATGTAACCAAATTTCCTAATATGCATCTCTACATCTTCTGGGGTGTTTCATTGCTGTTCTGTGCTACATCTGAACTCTCCAATAAAATGTCAGTAAATGTAGAACATACTGGCGGGGAAACTGCAGTTGGTTTGCTAAAGGCAAATAGAGTGTTAACTTTGCAGGGGACATTTGAATGAGGTGAAGTTCCGCTGACCTCCATTATCCAGTCATGTGCAAGCACAAATAGTGTTTTTCCTTCCATGAACATGATTGAGTTTTTATTTTTTTGTACAAAGCAATATTTCATCATATTCACCAAGCTAAGGGAAACTTCCCCTGAAAAGTGCAACATCCCTTGAAGTTTCCTTTAGTTATTAAACCCCACTGTGTTTGTGATATTTTCAAAAAAGAAGCACATAAAGCTAACTTTTGCGAAATCTTTCTAGTAATCATACATAGTTTGGTTGAGCCAGATTGGGTTGGATAGGCTAATGTTACTACCTGTAACTGGTTTCAGTGATTACAATATCACTGGTTGCAAAGAAGTAATGATTACAACTAGGGATGTCCCGATGCCACTTTTTCAGGCCCAAGTACAACGTGTACTCTATATATACTCTATATGTAGTACATATAGAGAATATACTGCTCATACAGTGCAGAGAATACATTTACAAATAAAAAGCTCCGCCCACCGGAGCAGCAGTAATGTGACGCGACGCTCGGCGAGGTAAGTAAGAAGAAAAATAAAACAGCTCAAGCTTCGGCACTAGGCATCGGGGCATTTTGACAAGTACAAGTACTTGTCAAAATGCCTTGTATTGGGCCCGATTAGCCATCGGTATCGGGACATCCCTAATTACAACACTAGCTGCATTGCTATGCTAACTGATTGTATGAAGATTTAAAGCTAAAAAATGATTGTAGAAAAAGCACAAGATAAGTAAGTTTCTAGTTACAATAAGGGGTCTATTCACGAAGCTGCCGAAGGATCTGGCCGTAGCTTCAGCCAGAACAGCTTACTATAAATATTATACCTTGATTGAAGTTGGATCCTACACAGAGCACTGTGTTTCCAGCGCTCCAGTTGCATGTTTGCCCCCTCCTCTTTATTCATTATATGAGAAAGTACAAGACTTTTTTGTGCATGGATGAGGGCATCCATTCACAAAACGTCTTGTACTTTCTTACATAATGCAAGGCGTTCTGTGAATGAATGAACAGAGAGGAGGGGCAGGGATGCAACTGAATTGTCCTTTTTCCATTCGCCGAATTCCTTCCATTCTGGTACCCGCAAGTGTCTCAACCGCATCTCTCACCTCTGCAGCAGGAAATACTGCTTTCTGTTTAGGATCCAGCATCAATCAAGGTATGATTTGCATAGTTTGATTTATACAGGGTTATTCACAAAAGGGTGAGGAGTTTGGAGAAAGCAGGAGAAGTGAACAATGTAGGACAACATAGCTTATTTGGAAAAATTCTCCAATTCAGCTCACTTTCTAGTTCAGCTATGTTGTCCTAGATTGTTCACTTCTCCTGCCTTCTCCAAACTCTTCACCCTTTAGTGAATAACCCTGTATAAATCAAACTATGCAAATCATACCTTGATTGCTGGATCCTACACAGAAAGCAGACTTTTCTTTATAGAGTTTAGCTTAAATATATGATTTGCTCATTCTTCCATTTAACATTTCAATGTAGATGTATTTGAAATTTCAGGAAGCATCATCAAGTCATGAATGTAATCAGAGAATGATTCTCTTGTATGGAGTCGGAAGAGAGAGAGATGAAGCCAGACACCAGCTGAGAAAAATAACCAAAGACCTCTTGAAGATTCTCAATACAAATGGCACAAGTGACTCTGCTGGTAAGTGAATGTTGTACTTTATGTGATACAATTATCTGTGATGTGTGACAGAAGGGAAAATGTCAATTTCAGTCATAAAGGCAATGTTTTCACATAACATTGGCTGCACAATTGTACAGGAAAACTCAGTGAATGTATTCTAGAACCTTCTGGGTTAACTGACATTACAAAGCAATTATACAGAAAACTAGATGCAATAAAGAACATTGATTTCCTAGTTGGAAATGACTACATTGCTATCTGGTAGTACAGAGAATGCCACATTAGTGGAACCTGAATCGATAGCAAATATTACACAGGGGTCTAATCTCCACCACTGCATGTTTACTTTAGAAGGTTAAAAATGTCCACAAATAACAATGTGATGTATGTGTTTATAACAAAAAGACAAAATGCCAAATACGATTACCAAGTGCCAAATTTACATTACTGGAAGAATAAAAAGATTTTCTAAAGATAACAGTGCTTATAAATGTTTTATTTTAGAAGCAACATGATCATCATTGGAAGTAACTGAATAGTGTGGAGCATAGATTGAAAATAAGATATAATTAGTGTTTGGATACCGTATACTTTATTGGTTGCAGAGATTTTCCTGCATGATGACAAATCACTTATTTCTATTACTCCTATCCTGCACTTCCCAAAATCACTTAACAAAAGGCAGCGTTTCAACAATCCTGTTTATCCTGTAATCCGTTTACTGAAAAAAGGCATATGGATATTTTGCCAAACCTTGAAGAAAGGGGACAAAAATAAAGAACACAAATATGTTGGGCACATAATTACAAAGCATTTACCACTGAAAATGTACTCTGCATTGAGTTTATAGTTTAATTATTTGGTTTTTTTTTAACTCAGAGAGAAAAGAAAAGGTGTCTTTGTTCAGGAAGGGTCACAATGGGTATATTATAAGCAGTCGAGAAACATTTTTGGCCTAGGCTGCTTTCTGCAGGGCCAGATTTAACATTAGTCACATGTCTTTAGGTGGCTTAGGCAGCTTTTCCTAGTATAGTTGTTGTGCAACATGTTGTTTTTCCATTATTAGAACAAATAGTTATCTCATATAAGGTTATTTACACATTAGCACAATATTCCATTGCAGGTCATAACCTGGAAAATACGGAAAAATGTTTTGCACAAAAATAATGATCCAAGCAGGGAGATGATTAACAAAGACACTGAATGCTGCATGTCTACAGGCTCCAGTGATACAAATCCATCAGCCTGACAGCAAGACAACAGTTTGTGCGATCCTAGGTCCTGCAGTCTCTGTACACATCTTTCTTCTTAACAATCAGTAAAATAGCTTTAAAGCAAGCCATCCCTGACCTCTCTAGTTACTTCTACTGTAAAGTAATTTTTTTCCAAAGATCCTCAAAGAAGATCACAGCAAAGGTGTCAATTCACAAAGCTTTTTTTGCTGATTTCGGCCGTAATTTAATAAATATTGCACACTATTTAGGTTTGTTCAATTCACCAAATGATTTAACGCTTGGAATCTCCACCAATTAACGTCTGTGTTTGCAGAAGTGATTTATATCACTTCTTATATATTTTATATTAGGGATGCACCAATACTGGTTACTCTAGTATAGATTCATTTTAAAGGGAAACTCAAACTTAAAAGAAGAAAAAAAATTGTGCATTTATTATTTTATTATTTATGATAATTTATTTTATTTTTTTGCATAAAAGCCAGTAAGGCATTGCAACCGTGGTCAGTGGATCACTGGATCACTGGAACAATGCTCTGGCTCCTGCAGACTCTTACTCCCATCCATGTGTATAGTGAGGTATGGACGTTCAGTAACATGCACAGGAGGAAGTGTCAATAAGACTACAAGTGCAGTGATGTCACTGCACTTGCATTCCATTAAGAATTACAAGTCCCTCTACTGTGGTGACTGATGGGACTTGTAATTTCTTCATTCACAGATCCTGTCAAAGTAATTAAAAAATGTAAACAAGCCTGTGGGGAGAGGAACTCTGCAATTCAGGTAAGTGGGGGTCGGGAAGGGGGTGAGGGGTTGCGATCTGACCATGTATCATGCCACACCCTAAATATGGGTGTAAGATGAAACATGGTCAGAAATGTAAACTTAGCCTTTAATGTGACAGCTATTTTGAACCCATTACACGTTTAATGTTCTAGAATTAATATACGAGCCCATAGGATGTCTTTATACATTGGTCTTATCTAATGAATGTGAAATGTACAGACATAAATACCCAGTATCAGTTGTAGTAAAGAGTAAAAACATTTCTATTACACATAGTTGCAGATGACGGACACCGGACACGAAAGAGCAAACAAGAATCCTTCCCATCTCTGGAAAGTACCTTTTCTCGGCTACAGCATCTATCATATTTTGATCAACATCAAGTCACGTCACAGGTATTTTACTTCCTTATAACCAAATATACAGCTGTGTTGTAATCTATAGCAGCACAAACTAATGAACACATGTAGTTCCTGTTATCTATGTTGCAGTCTATCTGTAAAATTAGGTACACATAATGTGCAAATTCAAATCTAATTATTATTATTGGCCATAAACAGTAATGCATGGCATAAAAACTAGGGATGCACCGATACTGGTATCGGTGCAGATACCATGTATTTGGGTTAGTACTCCTACACGCCCAAATGCTACGATACTTACCCCCGATACCGGAGCTACCAGAACATGGAGCCGGCTTCCCTTCCAATCAGGAAGCTAGGCGGCAGTAATGACTGCATGGGGTCTCAGCTTACTTCTGAAGGCCCTGCTCAGCACGAGCAGTACACATAGCTCCGACATACACCTGTCCCATCTTCTGCTCTAACACCTCACTGTGAACTGCATGCCCTCTTTGCAGCCAATCACCTTCCAGATAAACAAAGCTCCTCTCCAATCACCAACCTCTTTGTCCTCTCCCACCCCATCAAATTATTGGCCGTAATGATGGCACAACAAATGTCACGTGGTCTTCGAATCCCTCTCACATTGGAAGCCGCTAAGGAGCTGCCGCTTGCGCAGACGCTAATACGGGACTTGGCTAACTCTCCTGCTGCCAGCGGAAGTAAAATGACAGCAGTCACGGTGCCGTCTGCTCCGCCTACTGTAGTTACACAAAGAGTTAAGGGCTAGTAAAAGTGTGTTGGCCAATCCGATGCAGCAGGGAGGCTCGTACTGTGCAGTAATTGGTCAGAGGTGGGCTGTCGGTCGCAGGAAATGTGTGAGGTAATTGGCGGCGCTGTGAGGGAGGAAAGATGTCCACCGATGGCAATAAGCTGGTTCGCTCACCCAGCGGGCTGCACATGCTCCCCGAGACCAGAGTGTGCAGCAGCCCCTTCTGCCTGAGAGAGCCGCAGTGGAATAATGACACACTGCCCTCTTACATGCTAGCAGAAGTCCCGGAGTACTGAAAGATAAATATCGGTACTCGATACCGAAAAACCGGTATCGGTGCATCACTAGTATAAACCACCTAAAAGAGCTGCAGATGACCCCAGGATATATAGTCCACCAAAACAAGATTGTTTTAAATTGCCCATAAACATAAAGTGGGCAAATGGGAAAAAAAGAGAAAATATGGAGCACTTACAAATGTAAACTGTAAAGGGAAATAGAAGTTCATAAAGTGCTCACCTTGCACACTGACCAGATCAACAGCACCTCTGTCCTTGTCAGCATTGTAGGCTTGTATACAAATAATAAACTGTGCAGGGCTTGATGCAAATTTAGGTGTACAGATAAGCATAGATGATAAAGCAAGTGGTCTTAGGTAATATCATTATGGTGTATCCAAAAAGTTAATATATTTGTACTGCCCTATGCACAAAAAAGATCACCTTTGAAATGTGTTGCTTTTTTTATCTTGCAGCATTTGTATTAGTTCTAGTTCAAACATAGCAGTATTATCTTGGTCTGTTTGATTTATATCACTAATTAGCTGCTCAGTAGACAGCTGGAACTGCACTTTTGACTAAATAAGGTTGTATATAAAATCCTCTATTACTGGTAGAATCAGTTTATGAACCCTTACAAGTTACCTTTATAGGCGCTCCATATTTGCTTTTTTTTCCTTTTGCATCTATGGTAACCTCACATAAACTGCCTTGTTTGGTACAACTTGTAACCTGATTCTAGCAATATTCTCCTCACCACATCTTTCAATCCATTAAGGACCCATTTACACCAGTTCTGTTGAGCTGCATTAATCTGCACAGATTGCAGGCTAAAAGCCAGGGCACACAGAAAACAATTGCTTTCTATGTGCCCTGTTCTGCCACAATGCTGCCTTCAGATGGGTTAAATAGGAATGAAGACATGCTGCATTTTGCCGCAACGCTCTGCAGCTCACCTTATGCTCGGCTGTGGTGCATAAAAATGAATGAAATGTCATTTTGTGACATTTCAATAAAGTAAAAAAAGAAAAAGTAGGTAAACAGTGACTTGTGTAGTAACAGTGCAAGGCATGCTCCCCTAAAGCCTGTACACAACAGACACCACCCGCATGGTAAAGTGGCTTGTGTGCTTTAATGCATTTGAAATGCAGTAATAAATATGCTCATGTTTTGTTGATTTTACTTGCTATGTGCTCTCAATCAGAGCACTGCGGTTGTCTCTCATACTCCTTCATATCCCATTGTTGATAGATCTATAGAAGATTGTTCAGTTGTATTGCAAGTTGTATGGCCAACTCTACAGTGGATGTGTGTATATTCCACTTGTTCTAAACTCTCACCATACGCACCACCTTACCAACAATTTAAATCTTAAATATTCTCAGCTCAACCTCATATATTAAGCAAAGGGCATAAACCTCTATGTGTAATTTATTTCCCTCAAAATGGGAAACAACACTTTTGTTTCCCATGGTCCCTCTGTGTGTTGTAAAGTATCCACCGCTCCAAGCTCACTCCTGTGATGGACTACAATCTTGCGTTTAGTTTTCTAATTTGTATTGAGATTGTAGTCCATCACAGGAGTGAGCTTGGAGCGGTGGATACTTTACAACACACACACGGAACATGGGGAACAAAAGTAGCCACCCTCCAGGAGGAAGGACAGTGTCAGCCCCAATTCAGAGATGATTTGAGGATCTACAGCGGAGTAATACACAAATAAGTTAAATTTTTGTTAATAGTTCAGGTACATGAATGCATTTTTAGGATTTAACATGTGAGTTTAGTGTCACTTTAACTCTTACACTTACTCTTATTTTTGTAGCTGATTTTTAACGTTCTTTCATTATTTGGCACCCTAACCCTAAGCTGGCCATACACATACAGATTTTTCATTAATTATCAGCAATCTACCAGGTTCTGGTGTGACTCCTCAATACATACTCCTCAATGATGTGATGTATCTCCTCAATACATACTTTACTACATATGTCTGCTGTGAAAGGACCTTTTTCCCTGTTATAGAGGTACAGGAATGATCCTTAATCACTATTAGAGTTTTCCCAGCATGCTGGACCAGCTGTGACCAACTAAGTGACTAGCCTAGTTATCTCAGGAGAAAATAAGGCAGCTCATCCCTAGCTTTAGGAATGGTACAGTTTATTACACAGTAAAATAATAACATCGCAACAATTCTGACTGTAATACAATATATATATGAATAAATATTACATGACTCATGGTAGGAACAGTAGTGTACTAAATCAAGAATATGAATATTTAGAAGACTTAAACATATCCTTGATTGCTGGCTTACTTCCATGTTAGAAGTAACACATATTATGGAGAATGAAATGTACTTACGTGTGCACAGTGTGAGCTCCTATTCTGTATGATAATTACTTGTTGAGAAATGAGTTTGACGCTTCTGCTGGTTCCGTCCACAGATATCCTGCAACATGCTGGAGCAAATTACAAGCTTCGCTTCAGGAACCTCTTACCATCTTCCTCTGGCTCACCATGTCCAACTTATATTTGACTTAATGGAGCCTGCTCTGAACATCAATGGTCTCATTGATTTTGCTGTACAGGTACCTAAGCATTCTCTGAAGCTATTGTTGTTCTTGGATGAATGGAGATACTGGAAAACCGTGTTGTTCTTAGCCAGTAAATAATAGCAGCCTAGCCCTGGAGTTTGTCGTACTTAAACAGATTGTGCCTGGAGCCAGACATTAATCTCATTGTGTTCTCATGCAAATAGTGCAGTACTGTAGAAATCAAGTGTTCTTTTAGAGACCTTGATCAGGCGTGGAAACTTCAGGCTATCTGAGTGCTGCTAATGGACCTGTTAATTTTATTGAATTCTGGTTAAACAATTACACTATGGTCTTCAAAGCATGCAATATGCCTTTCACAAATTTGTTACAGCTTTGGGGGCTTTTACTTTGATGGGATAATGATCAGCTACACGCAACAGATGCCAGATGCATGATTTGGTTTATTTCATAAAGCAGTCCTATGACCAATGATGTTGTGAAAGGTGCAGTAACCTACAGGAACTCGATTTGAGCTTCTGTTAAGGTGCCCATAGGCGTACACATTTTGTGCATTGAAAGGCTAATTTTGCACCCTGTCTGCCAATACTCAGTCAGTATATGGACTATTGTCAACTTTTTTCACCTGATAGCTACTTAAATATTGTTTGGGTGGTAGGGAAGATGTAATCATTTATCGGCTCCATTCACTAATGTATTAGGCTCTTGACTGACTCTTCTTTTGCCCCCTACACAATATGCAAATCTACTGTGGATCATTTCATCATTACATTACTGCACAACAGGTGCTCACCAGAACAGTCAGGGTCCACTCACACTATGCATGACGGTAATGCACGTGTGTTAAAGGCTAAAGATGGCTATACACTATATGAATTTTGGCCGGTTCTTGATGAAATTCACACAGTGGATGCCGCTACCAGCACCCTTTTGGCCTGGCATCCCTTGATCAGCTGATCGAAGGAGCTGGTTGGAACATCTTCAAAGGAACAGAGCGGGCAGCCAATGAGCTGCCAGGCTGGAGAAAGAGAATATAACAGATTCCTCCATCAATGCTTGCGGGCATTGAACAAGGAATCTCCCACTAGTCTTAATAGTGTTCTGACAGTGGCCACCGGCTGAAATTCACATAGTGTATGGACAGTTTAAGTGTTGTCACTGTAAGACAGAAAGTGTGTTACTGGTAGGATCACCAAGTTAAAATAAATTAAAAAACAAACCCGAAAACAGAAATTAAACGCCGCCAAAACACATCAATGGACTATTTTTGAGAAAGCTGGTCGGATGTCCAGTGAAATGTCTTCAAGAAAAATACAGCAAATCCAGATGCCTTGACTTATTTTTTACAGAAATCAATAGTAAGTTAAATGAATGTATAAGTGAATAAAGGGATTTTCTATTCACGTAATAGAATAAATGATTTGAATCTTCACACAGTTTTGGTTAAAATCCTTTAGTCAATCGGATTCTATATGTGAATTCAACATTCTTTTGCACCTCCTATTGCAGTCAGATATTTCCATCACCATAGATGGCTAACTCTCAAAGATCTTGCTATCAGCCGTGGAGACATTTCTTCATCAGACCGTAAACAATAAAATCCTTTGTTCCCGTTCACACCTAGGTGTTTTGACATTCAAAGGTAAGCGCGTCAAAATGCTCAGGACAACAAATTCCCATTCGCTTGTCTTGAGCATGACAAAATGCTGAACACAAGGAATCCCATTCATTTCTATGGCCCCTGTTCATGGGCAGAAAAATTCCTGTCGCTGGAAAAAGTACATGAGCTACTTTTTGGCTGTTTTGTCACCATCAAGACAAGCAAATGGGATTCCTTGTCCTGAGAGTTTTGTCACGTTTAGCTTTGAGTGACAAAATGCCTAGGTGTGAACGGAGCCTAAGGCAGGGATGGGCAACTCCGACCCTCCAGCTATTGTGGAACTACCAGTCCCATGAAGCGTCGGGAGACTGACAGTTAAAGGCATGGCTCCCAGAGGCAGAGGCATGCTGGGAGTTGTAGGTAAAGCACAGCTGGAGGGCCGGAGTTGCCCATCCCTGCTCTAAGGGATGCCTTGTGTCTTTTTAGGTCCCTATTATTATTATTATTATTATTGTTGTTATTCAGGATTTATATAGCACCAACAGGTTGCACAGCGCTTTACAAAATTGAGGGAGACAATACAGTTAACAATTTCAATACAGGAGGGTTAGGATGTCCTTAGTAATGTTTTTTGTCTGTTTTGTTTCCTTAGTAAGATGTTAAAATGCCTTAATAAACAACAACAAAATATAAACTGTTACGAGGTAGTTAGTTAAAGCTTGCAGTGTTAATAATTCAGGAGTCAAATCTTGTTAAATGTGCTATAAATTATGTCATACAATTTTTCATTGATTTAATAAACCAATAGTGGCTCCTATAGAATCTGTGTATATTTTCTGCACAATATATCCCCTGGGAATGTAATGGCAAATTTATAAAATTAAAAATATATACATTTCAGTATCAAAAGATTAAGGGGTCTATTCACAAAGCATCTAGCCGTAGCTTCGGCTGATCCTACGGCTAGCTTCGGCTCCAGGACCCCTTCGGTTCAGTAGAACCGAAGGGTGCTGTACGGGCTATTCACAATAGCCCGTACAGCTCCCGAACGTGGCCGAGCGGCTCAGTCAAGCCGAACGCATATGCATCGGCTCGGCTGAGCCACGCTGAAAGCTGACAGCCTGCTTCTGACAGCCTGCTCCGGCCACTTACAGAGAGATCAGCGTCCCTGGTTACCAGCTAACCAGGCACACTGATCTCCAAACAGCAAACTCTCCCTGGTGACCGAGCAGAACAGAAAAATAGTTTTAAAAGTTTTTAAAAAGTAAATAGAAAACGATTGTGCGGAGCTAGCAGTGCCTGCTAGCTCCGCCCAATAGTTTCCTATTGTCAGGCGGCTCTGACAAAACTCTCCCGGGCGCTCTGGGAGCCTCCCGCTCCCGGCCACCAAGGAGAGAAACACTGCTGTTTCTTTTTTTTTCTTTATTCTGACACGCAGCGATGTCCGAATAGAAAAAAAAATTAAACATTTTCCCATTGGAATGCATTGCTACATTCTTATTGGCTATTTCAATTTGCAATAGCCAATAGTAAACTAGCATTGTACCTGCCCTCTGCTGCAGTTCTCCATCAGATCCATCAGCAGAGGGCGGTTACAATGCTAGTTTACTATTGGCTATTGCAAATTGAAATAGCCAATA